TGATTTCTTCCACTGCTGGTGGGAATGTCCGAAAATACAGTCTTTTTGGAGGCAAGTGATAGAGGAAATCACCACAATCACTTCTCAAAAACTCCCTCTGGACCCATCAGTAATCTTATTACAACTAGAAAACGGAAAAACCCAGAACATGAACATGTCAACTCTTACTTCAATTCTATTGGCCACCGCAAGATTGACCATGGCGGCTGTTTGGAAAGCCCCAGACGGTGACCCACTGGACATCAAAACATGGAGACAGAAGTGTTGGGACCATTTTGTAATGGATAGGATCGCAGAAACATACACGGATAGGTCACGCAAACCCACAACCATACACACTACCTTTGTCAAAACATGGTTTTCATTCATTCAATACATGGTAGAACATGACATAATCCCTCACAATCCCCGATACATAGAATGGCTGCGCTTCTGAACCCTTTTTGTTATTGTTATTGGTCTGAAATTACACCTGCTTCTAATAATTAACTTTTGAACTCTAAAACGAAATGATGTACCGAGTATACTGCGTTTGTTTGCTGCACTTCTGATGATATGGTTCATACTTTGTTTAATGTTGACAACTTTACTATTATAATTCCTGTTTGATCTGTTTAAAAGAAAAAAATTCAATAAAAATTATATTTAAAAAAAAGAAAAGGCAGGTGCCTCAGAACTTCTGGCAATGGCTGCAGAAATTTGGACAAGAGTTTGCAATAGGGTGTGGTTTGGGGGCCAGCCTGTGCTTGGGTCCTGCCCCTCCGGATGGGTGACACATAACAGAATGTTCTTCTGTGCAAACTCGGTTCCCTGCATGTAGAAAGCTGTCATGCAGGAAAAGCCTGGAAGCCTTGTCCTTGAGAAGCTAGTTTTCCATTTGCAGGTTTTTTTAAAAAAGTAGGCATATTCAATCATGTGACCACACCTGCTTCAAAACTGCCCCGGAAACCATTTCTCGATTGACCACCTCAGCGGCAACTAGGCTGTCATCTCTCTTAAATCCCGTTTCAAGTTCCCTTGGCAAGAAAGGTGTGGAATAAATGAAGTAAAATAAAGAAAAAAATTAAAAATGCCATAACTCTCAGGAATGGGCAGTCCTGATTGTTCGGGCTTCCAGTGTGCCCAGGAGAATCCCTGCACACTCATGTATTCTGCAGTCCTCCTCCCACAAAACTGAGCCGCCTAGCTGATGGCTAATCACTGGAGTTCCTCCTGTTTTGCATAAAAATGTGAGCCAGGAAATCTTGAGAGCTCCTCAGGATTGTGGGTTGGATCTTGGCTAATTTTGCCGCTCACCGAAGGCGCTTCTGGCCGCGGAACGGAACATTCCTGCCCTCTCTCTCCCCGCCACAGCCCACTGATCTGCCCAGAACACTGCTCCTGGGGGACAGGGGACCCACAGGGATGGCAGGAGAGGGCCGATGGGGGCCTGCAGAAATTATCCCTCCTGTTCTTGGTGTAAAATCTAGTCTAGATCCAGCCCAGCAAGATTCAAAGTTATTGGAAACCGAGACTCATTTGTATTTGCTTTCTGCTTTAATAACAGACCTGCAGCACCTGCTGCTCGGTCCCCCTGAGGATGTGAGGGGTGCCTTTTCCTAGCACTGAGCTGGCTTCTGGTTTGGTGGCAGCTAGCCCCTGGCATCTGGGTGGCACCCGCGTCCCGCCAGGGATGAAAGGGCTGGGAGCTCTCTTGTCTGACCCGCTTCTTCCTTGCCCTCCTCTTCCCAGACAAGGTCAACAAAGAGTCCGTGCGCTCGATTGAAAAAAGCATCTTCACCGTTTGTCTGGATGCGCCCATGCCCCGGGTGTCGGACGACATCTACAAGAGCCGTGTGGCTGCCCAGATGCTGCACGGCGGGGGGAGTCGTTGGAACAGTGGAAACCGCTGGTTTGATAAAACTCTTCAGGTGGGTAATGCCCAGGGGTCACTTCCTGCAGGAGCGCACAGGAGCGCAGCTCCGGCAGTAAAGAGCCCAGGGGGCGGGCACATGTAACAAGCCCCACCCCCTGCTCCCCGCAGCCCTCAATCAGAGCACGAAGCAGCCAGGTAAGTTGCAGAGCCCCCCCCCCCCCTGGCCCTTGGTCCAAAACAGTCCAGTGGCACCTTTAAGACCAAGTCTTATTCAGGTACAAGCTCTCCCTCCTCCGTGAGGACAGATCTGCACGTCCCCCCCCCCCAATAGCTAGCAATCCAAAACAGTCCAGTGAAGCCTGAGCAGTGGGTGTTGCCTTCTGACACACTTCCGGTGATGTCAGGGGGTGTGGCATATGGTAATGAGTTATGCTAATGAGTTATGCTAATGAGCTCCTGAACCTCTTTTTCTACGAAATGACCCCTGGTAATGCCCCTGGGAGCTGGTGTAGCATAATGGCTGAAAGAATGAGCCTGTGATCCGAGAGGCAGCCATCTCAACTCACGTCTTAGTCAAAAACTTGCCTTAGGCAAGCCTCTTAGTTGAGGCCAGTTCATTCCACTGTATTTCTGCATCAGGAGTGACTGAATGATCCGGTCCCAGGGGAGCCTGGTTGGGAGGAGGCAAGCCGAGGGCAGTTTTGCATACAGAGTTGCAACAGGCAGCCTCATTCAAGAGCAGTTCATTCCGCTGTATTTCTGCATCAGGAGTGACTGAACGATCCGTCCCCAGAGGACCCTAGTTGGGAGGAGGCAAGCACTTTACATACAGAGTTGCAACAGGCAACTGAATGATTCATCCCCAGAGAAGCCTGATTGGGAGGAAGCATGCCCGGGGCAGTCTGCATACAGAGTTGCAACAGGCAGCCTCATCCAAAGGCAGTTCATTCGGCTATATTTCTGCATCAGGAGTGACTGAATGATCCGTCCACAGAGAACCCTAGTTGGGAGGAGGCAAGCACTTTGCATACAGAGTTGCAACAGGCAGCCTCATCCTGCTGCCTTTCTGCATCAGGAGTGACTGATCCAGTTGGACCCAGCACAGAGATATATTAGAGTTTCTTCCCCCAGTTGAGGCAGGAGGAGCAGCAAGATCACTGAACTGTGGAGAGGAAGAACGGGCAGCCTCTGCATGGGTAAAAACGAAAACCTTGAAATAGCTTTCATGGTCCTCTAACAGTTCTTGCAACATTTTGGGATTGCAGCTCTCACAAGCATGTTCTCTTGCCATGCACAAAGGAGGCAGCCTGTGCTCTTCTTCTTTTTTGCTGAAAGCTGTGAGTCTGGTATTCTCCCAGCAGTGCCTCACACAAAAGACTCCCTTCTTTTGGCTAATCCATGCACTGTCACTGCCACCCATCCTCTCTCCCTTGCCTTGCAGTTCATCATTGCAGAAGACGGCTCATGCGGGTTGGTGTATGAACACGCTCCTTCAGAAGGTCCGCCGCTCGTCGCCCTGGTGGATCATGTTGTGGAGTACACGTAAGGCTCTGTCACTTTCCCATAAGTGTGGAGGGGTAAAGCACCTGCTTGGCATACAGAAGGACCCAGGTTCAATCCCCAGCACCTCCAGTTAGAAGGAGAGGGACTGAAGAGAAATTGGATTTATACCCTGCCATTCACTACCTGAAGGAGTCTCAGAGCGGTTTACCATCTCCTTTCCCTTCCCCTCCCCACAACAGACACCCTGTGAGGTAGGTGGGGCTGAGAGAGCTCTCTCGAGAACTGCTCGTGAGAGAACAGCTCTGAGAGAACTTGTGACTGACCCAAGGTCACAGCAGCAGCTGCATGTGGAGGAGCGGGGAATCAAACCCAGTTCTCCCAGATTACAGTTTGTGCTCCTAACCACTACACCAAACTGGCCGAAGGACCAGGCAGGAAGTGATGTGAAAGACCTTTCTCTGCCGGAGACCCTGGAGAGCTGCTGCCAGTCTGAGTAGACAATACTGACCTTGATGGACCAAGGGGGGTCTGATTCAGTAGCAGGCAGCTCATGTGTTCATATCATTTATCTTCCTAGGCAAGAAGATAGTTACCCTCTGGATGGATTTCTCCAAAGGGGAGCTGGTACAGTGGCATGGTGATAAAAAAAAATAAGGCCAAGGCCAATGGTGCAAAATCAGGTCAAACTATATTTTATTACACAGTTAAAATTCCCTACGCGTTTCGCCAACAGGCTGACGAAGCCTGTTGGCGAAATGCGTAGGGAATTTTTGGGGAATTTAACTGAGTAATAAAATACAATTTGACCTGATTTTGCACCGTCAGCCTTGGCCTTATTTCTAATTTCCTGTGACTGGGGCAGCCCTTTTCTTCTTGTTACGATGGCAGGGTGAACCAGCTGAGGTACAGGAGGTTGGTAAAAAATTTTCGTGGGGCCTTGTGTCAGAAGGTTTGGTTCTCCTTACCCAGGGGTCAGGGATTCCTCCCGCTCACTTTGGAGGCAGAGCTGTTCAACTTTGTGCTGAGCACACACAAACACACACACTTTCCCAGTCCCGCCTGCACATTGGCATCAGGGCTTTTCACAGAGCTCCAGCTGTGCACCGAAAAATTCACAGCTTTGTTTGTTTGTTTGTTCATCGCTTACATAATTGTATTGAAGACTCTCTGTCTCACTAAATGGCATTTGGAGTAGTTTACAGTTTGGTGTAGTGGTTAAGTGCGCGGATTCTAATCTGGGAGAACCGGGTTTGATTCCCCACTCCTCCACTTGCACCTGCTGGATGACCTTGGGCAAGCCGTAACTCTGGCATAGCTGTTCTTGAAAAAGAGCAGTTTCTGTCAAGAGTTCTCTCAGCCCCACCCACCTCACAGGGTGTCTGTTGTGGGGAGGGGAAGGGAAAGGAGTTTGTAAGCCGCTCTGAGACACCTTTGGGTAGTGAAGGGCGGGGTATAAATCCAATCTCCTCCTCCTCCTCCTCCTCCTCCTCCTCCTCCTCAATCTGGATGACCCAGGTCACGGAAAAAATCATGACATTGTCTAATCTGCAAGATTTGAACAGGCCAACGGGGCAGCCATTTTGAAACGATAACAGAAAACAATCTAGATCTTCTCTTCTTTTTTTAGAAAGTTACTACCTTGCTGGATCAGGGGAATGCTGTCCAAACACAGTTTATCTTGATTTCAGTAAGACTTTTCCACATAACATTCTTGTGGACAAGTTGGTAAAATGTGGTTTGAATCCTATTACCGTTAGGTGGATCTGTAACTGGTTGACAAATCGCACCCAAAGAGTGCTTGTGAATGGTTCCTCACCTTGGAGACCCTCTCTCACAGAGCCCTGAGAAGTTCCCCTTCCACTTCCTTTCCTTTACATCTGTGAAAACAAGCAAAACACCCAAGTTTCTAGTCCCCACACCTGTTACACTCCAAGGTTCGTTTCCCAGTAGGCTTGAAATGATTCTTTGATCTTACTTGTTTTGCTATCCTTTTTTTCAGCCTTCGTGCCATTTATTTTAAATGAACAGTACTCATGAGGTGTGTAGCCATGTTGTTTTGAAGCAATAGAACAAAGTTTAAGTCCAATGCAGGGGTCATTTCGTAGAAAAAGAGGTGCAGGAGCTCATTAGCAGAGCTCATTGGCTTAACTTATTTGCATATGCCACACCCCTGACATCACCAGAAGTGTGTCAGAAGGCAACACCGACCACTCAGGCTCCACTGGACTGTTTTGGATTGCTAGATATTGGGGGGGGGAGGGACATGCAGATCTGTCCTCACAGAGGA